GCGCTATGGACACTTTTTGAAGTGGAGAAGGGGTTGCAGGCCGGGGTATTGTGATATCTGTTCATTATATCTTCCTTTTTATTCTTGTCTTTAGGCCTATTTTTCTCTTCTCTTTTTATTATTCTTTTTCCTTTCTTTTTCTTTCTCCTTCCTTCTATTTCCCTCCCTCTCCCCTTTTTCTTTTCTCTTCTTACCCAGCCCGGTACGACAGCTTGGTCAGCCCAGTAAAAACCTTCAGGGGGGAGGACAGTCTTTCTTCTTCCCTGTTACGCCACTGCTTATAAGATGAATAGAAATATGAATCATGCAGATCTGGAATCAAATCTAGGTGGTGGGGTCAACATTCCTCCCCCGGGAAAATTTCGATTTCTAGATGACGGGAAATTCTGAGGTGCCTTTTAATTACTCTTATGTTCTTCAAAATTCAAGGTTTTCCCATCTTGAAAACGGTCAATTTTTTCCCATTGTTATTACAGTAAATAGGGCTTATGTGCGTATACATATATATACCGGTAACAATTTAAAAAAAATGAGTAGTTGCATACGAATTTTCCATGAATCGATGAATCCCAAAAGAAAGGGGGGTCCGGGGTTCTTCTCCAAAAAAATTTTGAGTCCTAGAAGGCGGGAAATGAGCTTTCCCGACTTCTGAGGTGTCTTTTAAATTAAAGTCATTAAAAAATACTTCAGAAGTCGGGAAATCTCATTGTCTACCATTTAGAAATCAACATTTTCCCGGGAAGCTTTCCCTGGGTTCATTGATTCATTATAATAATTTTCAAGAGGGGAACACCTTGAATTTTGAAGAACTTAAAAGTAATTAAGTTCTTCAAAATTCAAGGTTTTCCACTCTTGAAAACGGTCAGATAATTTTTTCCCATCGTTATTACAGTAAATAGGCCTTATGTGTGTATACATACATAAAAAAGATTAAGTAAGTTGCATATGTAGTTTTTCCATGAATCGATAAATCCCAAAAAGAAAGGGGGGGGGGGTCCTGCGGTTCTTTCCCGGGAAATTTTTGATTCCTAGGTGGCGGGAAATGAACTTTCCCGACCTCTGTGGTGTCTTTAAATGACTTTTAAATTCTTCAAAATGATTCAATTAATCAATGAACTCCAAAGCTAAAAGGGGTTCGGGTTCCCCCGGAAAAATTTCGATTTCTAGATGGCGGGAGATGAGCTTAACTGACTTCTGAAATGTCTTTTAATGACTTTTAAAGTACTTCAAAATTTAAAGTTTTCCCCTCTTAAAAAAGGTCAGGTAAATTTTTCTCATTTTTTATTTTATGTGTGTATACATACATATACAAATGAGT